AGAAAAATGAGACGGATATGATATACAATCAAAAAATGCTTCATCCGTTTGTGTACACTGGCGTGCTTTAGAGTAAATATGTAATCTTAACATTTTATTTTAATATTATTATTTATTGTAATCAGGAATGTGCAAAATGATCAAAACCTATATAAAACAGAAAATGCAAAATACTTAAAAGCTTTTAATTTGCAAGATGCAAACTGCGTTTTAGGTACCCATTTAAAATAGGCATTTTTTAAATAATTTTTTGAAATAAAAATGTTTTATTGACACATAAATGTGTGTGTATTATATTTCAATAAAAATTCTTTTTTATTAATTGTATTTTTATTTAATTTTGTATTACTTATATAATTATTATTTAAATTTAAATTTTTATTTTTAATTAAATGTTTATAAACTTAAATTTTTTTCAAAAATTTTTTTATTATAAACTTCCCAGCAAACACAGTATATAAATGTTATATACTTAAATGTTACATGTAACGTATTTTTAATTTCCCACTTATAGATGTAACATTTTTAATATTACATATATTACATTGTAGTTATATTGCCATTATATCCCAAGCTATATATATAGCACTGACTTATCCATACATCAATGTGCTATTTGGTATATAATTACAATATAACTACAATGTAATATATGTTATATTTAAATTTTACATCTATGAGTGGGAAATTACAACTAACATGGATGTTACATGTAACGTACACGTTATATTACCTGTTATATTCCGTTTTATTATAGCAATGTAACAATTATATATCGGTGTTTGCTGGGTTTCTTGTATAAACTTCAAATTTTTATAAACTTTATATAAAATTTATATATTTCTTATATAACAAATTTCTTAATAAAAAATTAAAAAATACTCATAAATATATTTACATGTAAAATTGCAAAACATTTATTACTGTTTCCATAAAAATATTTATTACATTACATCTTACATACACTTACATTTACTTAATAATTTCTTTAATAATATTTTGATTATCTATACATATTATTGATATCTTGATTCATTTTTAATTTGCAAAAAATGCATTTAAAATAAAAATGGATATAATAATAAAAATATTTTAATGTAAATAAAATATAATTAAATAAAATTATATATTAAATGGGAAATACAAAATGGGCATTTTACATTTTACATTCCCATTTGGAATACATTAATGTCAAATAATGCACATCTCTGTTTGTAATAATATTATTATTATTAATATAATTATCATATGTGTCAAAATAATTTAATAAATGCTAATTGAGGAATAATTCACATATGTTATTATAGTATTAATACTTATTCGTAATATAGATTTGCTGAATTTCTCGAAAGTACCTTCTCTGTAACTTTAATTATGCAGTTATTAACAATTGTCATCGGAATGAGTGTTACCTTGCTGCAAGTACGTGCGTTTAAAATATTGCAAAACTTGCAACATTTGCATATATTTTGAACATTAAATTATTATTTAAGTTTATATAATTACTCGACAAAATAAAAAATTAAAATAAATGTATTTATTCCATTCGAGATGGCAATGCAATTAGAAAATATTGTTGAAACATCAAGAAACGCAGCATATATTTTGGCCCAATTGATTCATATATTCTGCTTCAGTTTGCAAGGACAAAATTGATAGACCACAGTTTAAAAATACACGACAAAATGTGAGATAATAGTTCTATTTGTTAAATATTTAAGTCTGCGATAAGTTTACAATGAAAATAAATAAAGTGATTATTGAAATGTATATTGTAGATATAACTGTTTCTGGTATAAAATGCCAGTAAAATCGCAAAGGCTACTTCTGAATATGATGAGAAGAAGCCTGCAGCCGAATATGTTGAGTGCCGGAGGGATGTATATCTTTTCATTAAAAAGCTTCATGACGGTAAAGAACACATTTTCACAAATATTATGATGTTATATATATTTTTATCAAAATGGTGATTTTTTAACAAATTACTTCTTCTTTTGAAGGTTTTACAATCTTCGATGTCATATTTTATGGTTCTCGCATCCTTTCAGTAACCAATGGTTGATAAATGTATATAGTATTTCTGCACATGCATGACAATAAAATATAGTAATTTAATTCGCATTTATAATTAATATGTAGATGCATCATTACATTTCATTTGAAAAAAATTGTCTTAATATTGAGAGCCGATAAAAATATTTATTTCTGAAAATATTTTTAATTGGCTTTTCTTTTGTCTGTTTGTATATTGTAAGCAAACAATTTTTTTTAAACATGGTAGTGATACTGTATGTGTTTTTTAAATATTTTTTTTAAATAATGAGTTCCATTCTAAAATATGTACTTTTCTTATGTGTCTTACGCCGACTATGACAGCTCGAGCGTAATTTATTCGATATTATAACATTTTTAATGATTGGAAAATTTTGAAAAACCCGAAAGAATGCAAAATTATGAAAACGTATGCAGCAAAAGCTAGATTGTTTTCTTTGATTTATTCTTGTAAAAATAATTCGGTCTATTTCAATTTTACACATAAAAAAAATAATAAATAAATTTTTTTCATTTTTGTTGCAGTATTCTATCTCATAGCTTGTCCGTTGTATCTATTTATTGCTTTTATACCAAAGGTACTAGATGTCTTGCTCTAAACGAATCCCGACCTATAGTTATGCCTTATCAAACTGCAAAATGTGCTTAAATACTTAATTATAAAAATATTACAATTTTTAACTTTTTTGAGTATTGCTTACGTAAAGCAACTTTACTTTTACATATATTAAAAATAAATAATAAATAAATGCAGTTTTAATATATTCTTAAAATAAAAAGAACAGAGCACTATATTTAACGATTATTGTAAAAATTGCAGCTTCTGACCATCTTTTCGATATTGTCATCATATTCGAGTTTACCTTACTTAAACAACATTTATAAATTTAAATTAAATTAAAATTATAGTAATTAATTAAATTAACATTTATAAAATTGTGTAATTAAAATGTAATAGTAAGGTGTATACAGAATGTTTTCAAACCTATAATCTGCTTAATAATAACATTTCTAGGGAGGAAAATTATTTCAATGTGGTAGAAACATGCAATGTATCTTATTATGTATGCCGTCGAATACACTGTTCATTCTGATTACGATAAAATTGCTCACGTGTCAATTTTCGAATTACAAGGTACGATAACATGTAATTTATATTATTCATTAATCGAGAAATAGTTTTATCAGTTCCAATCATCGTTCCTCGCGATTGCATTCTTTTAAAATGACTATTAAATTATCTGAAAAAATATAATATTTTTGCACTTTAGATTAAACATCTCACCGATCAATTGTATAACGATTGGAGAATTTTGAAAAGCCCGCAAGAATGCGAAATTATGAGAACGTATGCAGCAAAAGCAAGATTGCTTTCTTTGATTTATTCTAGTAAGAATGATTCAGTCTATTTCAATTTTACATATAAGAAAAATAATAAATCAATTTCTTTTATATTCGTTGCAGTGTTCTTTCTCATAGCTTGTCCGATCTACCCATTTACTACCCTTACACCAAAGATATTAGACATCGTCATGCCCCTGAACAAATCCCGACCTATAATCATGCCGTATTCAGGTCACTATTTTGTTTATGACGACACAGAATATTTCTTCTACATTTTATTTTACTCTGCCATTATTGCTACACTAGTTTTAACGGTTCTAGTCGCGCACGACTGCGTAATTTTGACTTACATCGAACATGTTTGCGGCGTCTTTGCCGTTGCTGGGTAAGAATAATTCGTATTTTTCTTATTATTATTTGTATACTTTAAAATCACTCGATTTACAAAGTATCGCAATTCATTGTATGATCGATACATGCATACGAATATTTGATTATATGTTTATAGATTTACAATAATCTATACATTTATAGATAAATTACTATATGGTTATATAATTTTTTTATTTAATTTTATTTGTTTTATTTTTATTTTATTTAATTTTTATTTAATATGTGTGATCAAAAACTTTATTATTTAGAAACTTTGCAATACTTTCATTTTTCCACTCATGATATTTTGACAATGAAAGTCGATAATCATGTATTACATTGAAAACACTATACGATAGCTTTCTTTTTTAAAATTTAACACCTATATTATATATTTAATCAAATAATATTTTACATATTTTATTTATGCATTTTACTTTCACATACATACATATTTCACTTCATGGACAAACGCAAGAATTTGCATAGAATAAAATTAGAATGCACATTAGGTCAAACTTTTTCTAAATATTTATATATCATTTTTAATGATGTGACTCAAGTTTCCATAAACATATTAAATTTATTATTCCAAAAAATGTTACCTAAATATATTAGCTTTGATTTTTCTTGTTTTTCGAATAATGTTTACTGTAAGCAACATTGCTTATCCGTCCCATAAAAAATAAAAAATAATGAAATTATTGTAATGTCAATATACTTCTAAAATAAAAAGAGCGAGCTTGTTTTGTCACGAATGCGAAATAATAATGCGAAATCTAAAGAAAAAAAGAACAATAAATTCTAAAGAACAAAGAAGAATATATGCGTGAGTAAATAACCAACATTACACATTGACACATCATAGTATTTACATCTGGTATCTTATTATTAAATATATGGACAGAACTCTAGAGTCCAAATTACATTTTACGATAAATTCTAGGAATCTAGAGTTCTATCCATATACTTAATGTATGTTATTATTGAATCGATATGTTTCGCGTGATAAGAGAGCATCTTTTCTTTACACCTGCTGTTTCCAAATGCATTGTATATGTATTGCGAAGAGTGACACAATATATTAAAGGTTTGTGACTTGTACTATTTTTACATATGGCACCCCATATTTTTTTCTACTAAAATATTTATTTGTTTCGCGCATCAAAAAACGAGATAAAAAAATTTAGTCGGCATCGTACTAACGAGCTCGAAGGATCTTTCTGAAAATTATGGAGCGTGTTTGGAATTATTATTACAGTGTTACCAAGAAAATGCTTTCATTAAGTGGACAGTGGCCTTATCAAGAGAAAAAAGAAAAGTTGCTCCGAATGGCTATAGTGACTATATTTGAAATTTCTGTGTTGATTCCGCAGGTCACTAATCGCTTAATTAAATTTGTTATAATTTTCTCAATAATTCAACAAGATTAATAAAAATTGTTTAATTAAAATGTGATAAGATAATTTTTAGTGATACGTAATTTAATTGTTATTATTCGATTTGTAAGTATTAAAAGGATTCTGTACTCGTTAAAAAAATAAATAAATAAATAAATAAATAAATAAATAAATAAATAAATAATAAATAATATCTATACAAAAATGTTAAACTGTATAATTTACTAATAATAACGTTTTTAATAGGTAGGACAATTCATTCATTGCGGTAGAAAAGTGCAATGTCATTTAATCAGTGCACCATCATATTTAGTGTACACTGTGATTATGGTTAAGCTACTCACGTGTCAAATTCTGAATTACAAAGTACGATAACACGCAATTTATATTATTTATTAATCAAGAAATAGTTTTATCAGTTTTTGTAATCATTCTTCACGATAGTGTTTATCAACAATAATTGTTAAATTATCTAACAAAGTTTAATATTCTCGCGTTCTAGATTAAACATCTCACCGATCAATTGAATAACGATTGGAAAATTTTGAAATGCCCGGAGGAATACGAAATTATGAAAATTTATGCCGCAAAAGCGAGATTGTTTTCTTTGATTTATTCGAGTAAGAATAATATCGTACTTATAGCTTACAAAAAATTTGTTTCATTATCTTAAACTAGGCAAAGTGTTTTTTATAGATTGTTGAATAATGAAAACGATGCCTCCATAAGTCGATTTTTACCAACAAATCAGAAATAATTAAAGCTTAATATGCATAAAAATGGTTTTTTGCAATATTTGAATTTTTTTTGTAAAGAAAGTTAAAATTTTATCAAAAAATTTTGATTAGATATTATGAATGTATTGTTTATTTTCAATAAGACGTATTTTTTTTATTTCGATATCTTATTTTTTAGACATGTTAAGAAGGATTCAAATATAGAGTTTTGTTGAAATATTTCATTCAAATATTCAATCTATAAAAAATAGTGAAGTCATATAATTATACTTATAATTTGTAGTTTAGAAGTGTCTCACTTTTAAATTGTTAAACAAATGCATGTTCGGAAAAATGTTACAAAACAAAAGTTGTTTTATCTAAGGGAGGACAAATAACAATACAATCAATTTTAGAAAAATAATTTAAAAAAAAAAAAATTTTTTTCAGAAGCATTTCCAAACAAGTATTTTTTAACTTTAATCTTTTATAATTTAGCTAAAAAAATTATATGTTAATATGATTGATGATTGAAATAAAAAAAATGTATTTTAGAAAATGAATAATACATTCATGATATTTGATCAAACTTTTCAGTTAACCTTTTTTACAAAAAACTTTCCAAAATAGCAAAAAATACTACATTTTTATTTACACATAAAATCTCAATTATTTTAGAAACCTGACGTGCTAATGTTTCCAGAATCGTTTTCAGCATCCAAAAATTTATAAGAAACACACTTTGTTTGGTTGAAAATAACTTTTGGCTGTAAACTAATGTAATATTTGGTTTTATTTCAATTTTTATATAACTGATGATAAACGATTGTTTAATTTTTGTTGCAGCATACTATTTTATAGGTTGTCCCATGTTTGCAATTATGAGTCTCATACCAAAAATATTAGATGTTGTGTGGCCCTTAAATGAATCTCGTCCCGTATTAATGCCCCACGGTGGTCATTATTTCGTTAGCGATGACACCGAATACTTTTATTACATTTTGTTTCACGTTTTAATAGCTATAGTAATAATTTTAACAGCTTTTCTCGCGCACGATTGCGTGATCTTGACTTATATCGAACATGTCTGTGGCGTCTTTGCTGTGGCTGGGTAAGCAAACGCATAATTTGTTTTTCATCTAATCTTCTTTTAATTATAATAAATTCAAGGAGGTTATAATTTTAATTTACTTGTTTAAATGTACATAGATATCGTTTCGAAAATTTGTCATATAATGATGTAAAGAATAATATCATCAATCAAAAAATAGTATCAGCCGTTCATGCACACTGGCGAGCTTTGCAGTAAGTATATATGTATACATATATATATAATAATGTATTGCCATACCCATACAGCACAACAAGATTGTAGCAACATTGTGGCAAAATTTTATTGCGAAATTACAACATTGCATAAACATTGTGAAATGTTGCAGCAGTCTTGCTGCAAGGTTACAGCAACGGTAAAATGTCCGCTTTCAGAAATATTGTTCTATAACATTGCAGCAATAATACAATAAAATATATATGTAATATTACTATTGGATTATTAGAAATGTGCCAAATACATGATATATATACATAGCAATATTGCTATGCAATGTAAAATATTGCAATGTTGTTGCAATATTGCTGCAATATTGCTTGTGTGCTGTATGGGTATATGTGTATCAGTATAATTTAATAAATGTTATTTAGAAAAAAATTATCAATATATACATCTTAATTATTATAATAACATTTATTTATCATATAGATTCGCAGAGTATCTTGAAAATACCTTCTCTGTAACTTTAGTTATACAAATATTTATAGTTATTATATCAATGAGTGTTACTTTACTGCAAGTACGTCCATAGTCGTTAAAATATATTGCAAACTTTGCAACATGTGCACATTTTAAATATCAAATTATTGCTAATGTTTATATAATTATCTGTGATTATATACTTACCTTATTCATAAGAAGTAAATATATATATATATATATATATATATGTATATATATTTATTTATTTATTTTATTCATATTTATTCCATTTCCATTCGAGATGACAGTGAAATTAGATAGCACTATCGAAGCGATAAGGAACGCGGCATTTGTTGGTGGTCAATTGATTCATATATTCTGCTTCAGTCTGCAAGGCCAAAAATTGATAGACCACAGTATACAAATGCAGGATAAGATGTGAGATAACAATTGTAATATATATCTAGATAACAGATATTTTTATTTTTATTTATAAGTTTTTATTGTTTACTATTTAAGTTCTACTGCTTAAGTATTTTTATGTGACATTAAATTAAATTAGCTAAACATTATTTTGGATAATTTACTAAACACTTTTTCATCTAAGATGCAGATATAGATAAGTTATATGTTTATTATCTATATAAAGATAAGATAATGCCATAACTTTATCTAGATGATCATTTATATTTATATAACTGTATTTAGATAACAGCAAACACTGTATATAATCAATTCACAGTCAAAATATAGAAAATAATCAGTGTAATGTGATGCCATATTATTGCAATGTTGCAGATATGCCTGTTCTTGGTACAAAATACCAGTGAAATTGCAAAAACTACTTCTGCCTGTAATGAGAAGAAGCTTGCAGCCGAATTTTTTGAGCGCCAGCGGGATATACATTTTTTCACTGAAAAGTTTCATGACGGTAAATAATAAGTTTTTAATAATATTATAATATTATATTTTTATATAATTATTTTTAAAAAATTTTTCTTTTTGAAGGTTGTACAATCTTCGGTGTCATATTTCACTGTACTCGCGTCATTTCAATAATTAATCAATAATCGATAAATTCAGAGAGTTTTTCTGCACAAGCAAAATAATGTAAATAAATATGGCAATAATTCATTATCACACTAAACAATACGTAGATAAATAATAATAAATTTTATTTATATAATTAAATTATCATGTTAATCACAATGTTAAACTATTATATTTTTTATTATTAGATGTATCCTGTTTTACAAATAAAACGAAAACAGATATTTGCGTATAGAGCAATAATGGTTCAACAAATAAAAATAAATAATGGGAAAGATATTTTACTTATTATTTTATTTAAGTGTACTAATATATTTAAATTTTTACATATCTTGATATCACAAAATCTATAGTTGCATATTTCTAAAAAGTGTTTTTCATCGATTTTATCCGGTTTATTACAAGGTTTATATGTCGTTTTTTCTCAATTTTTTCCTCTATTTGTAGATCCCTTTCCTTTAGATTTTTAAATTTCTTTCTTTTTTAGGCATCGCGCCGCTACCAAGTATATATGCTTAATCTTCGATAGATATTGATGTCTATTATTTTCACTGCTGAGTAGCTGTTTTTTTTGTGTGTGTGCTCGCCTCGATTGTCCGTCCTCATTGTTTTCGGCAAGACGTGCCCTTACAGGATTGGCTTCAATCAATAATTGACCCATCGTAAGAATTATATTCCGAACCTTGAATATATGGATGGAACGCTAGAGTCTGTATTGATATGTTCTAGAGGATTGTAGATCGATTTTTTTTGAAATGACAAGATTTATATGTATATTTTTCGTTATTTTTAGATCTTTTTATTATATACAATTAAGTATATAAAATTATTATTTAAAAAAAAATTTTTAGTGACCGATTTTTTAAATAATTTTAATGATTTATTAAATAATGTATTTCTTCTTGTTTTTAAAATTGTTTAAACTAATTATGTCATATGAATATGTGTTGATTAATTTTGCAGTTGAGTGGTTTTGACTCAATTCTTAGTTAGAAAGAAAGAAAAGAACTTGCAATAGCTAGTAAAAAAAAAAGAAAAAATTGTTTAATATCGCAATGCAATTATTATAAAATAGTTCTCGCATATGCTATGCTCTTTCCAAAGAGTTCTAATAATGGAAATAATTTGAAAAATTTTTGAACAATTATTTCATCCGAAAAATCACATTTTTGAATATAAAATTTAGCTTCTGGTTGTACTTCGACAATGCAGCTTTTTATTAAATAGTTCTCGTGTAGTGCCGGACATGTATAATGCTTTTTCAAAGACTCCTGATAATAAAAATAATTAAAAAATTTTGCTTCCTCATAAAAGAAGTTTTGCTTTCCTAAAAAATTTTTTTCTGATTTATATACCAATGTGTTCAGAATGTTCTAAAACATCGAAAAATTATATTTTTAAAAAATATCCTTACATGTATGTGTATGTATATATGTGCCCATCCACTTTTATTTAAATTTAAATATATCAAGAATTATTTGTCTTACAGCGTTCTAATATGGCATACAAGTAAAGTAGTATACAATACTTTTATTAACTGTCATTTTCATACAAATTTATACTGCGTTTTAAATGTTAATGCAATTTTACATGGTTCAGGAAATGGTTGTAATTACTCTAACTTCCATAAATTTTAAGATATTAGGATAAACATTAAAACAAGATGGTTGGAATTTGACAAGTATCGGTGAAAGGATTTTTTAAATAAAATTTTGAATTTTTTGAAAAATGTCTGTGATAGTTCTAATTTTAGTAAATTTTGAAATATCGGGATAAATATATTTACATGAACCAAGCATCGAGAAATATTAGCGCTAATAAATCCAAATAATAAAATTAGCACAATTCACATATGTCAACACGATATATTGAATTATTACAATTTTCACATATAATAATACACAATTTTATATGTTTGTTAGTCGTGTAAAATTTTCAGATTTATATGTACAATCAGTGTTGTGCTTAGATAATTTAAAAATTGCTTAGATAAAGGTGAGATGAAAATATTCATTTTACGTTAGAAGAGAAAGAAACTGCCAATATGAAAAACTTCTCAAGACAGTAGAATATATCTATACCTATGCATCTAAATATTATACATAGAAATTTGCTTTGCTTATTTGCGTGTAACACATTTAGTAATAATTTATAAAGACACCATAGAATTTATATCCCCCTATTCAAATACAGTTGTCTATAGGCGAAACTTATTTTCTGAGAAATCGATACATTTCGCACTGCGACAGGTATCTATTAACATACACTTAGATAGAAATACATATATTACAGAGGGATAGAAATACATATTATATGTTTTCGACAACCTGTATTTTTATTTGTATGTTATCTTTTTCTTTTTTCGTCATGATAAGGCATATAGTTATTCATTCTTTGCTACGGAAAAAAAGATCAAAATTTTAGTCGATTGCATGTAATTAAAGAGAGAAGAATCCTTTGAAAAATTATGGAGTGTGTCTGGAATTACTATTACAGCGTTACTAAGAAAATGTTATTATTGTGTGGCCAGTGGCCTTATCTGACAAAAAGAAGAAGGTTGTTTCAACTGATTTTAAGTACTATAATGCACATTTCAATTATAGTTGGACAGGTTGTTGCATCCACTTACGAATTTTCTATCAAAATTTGCAAATATAAATTTAAAAGTACCTATAATCTATTAACAAATATATGCTTCAAGGTAGGAAAAATAATTAAATGTGACAAAAATCTGCAATGTATTTTCGTATGTATACCGACCTACTTAGTTGGATGTATATTTACGCTAAAATTATACACGTGTCAACTCAATAACAATAAAGTATGATAAAAAAGAATTTACATTATACACGTTAATGAAAAAAAAAACAATGTTTCTATAATTATTTTTTGCGAATATATTGTATAATAATTTTCTATAGCGACTATTAAATTATCTAATATTTAATATTTATACTTTAGATTAAACATTTGACCAATCAACTATATAGCGATTGGAAAGATTTGGAAAGCCCGGAAGAATATGAAATTATGAAAACGTATGCAACAAGAGTGAGAGTGTTTACTTTGATTTATTCGGGTAAGGATAATTCACGTCATTTTAATTTTACATATAACGAATATGATAAACGATTTGTTTTATTTTTTTTTTGTTACAGCATATTATCTCATAGGTTGTCCTATGTTTGTAATGTGTACTCTTATACCGAAAGTATTAGATATCGTGTTGCCTCTGAACGAATCTCGACCTATAATCCTGCCTGCGGAAATTCACTATTTCGTTAGTGACGAAGAATACTTTTATTACATTTTCATTCTCAGTCTTATATGTTCATTCTTTATAGTAAATGTGCTCGCGCATGATTGCCTTATTATGACTTGCATTGAGCATATTTGCGGCAATCTCGCTGTGGTTGGGTAAGAATATTATGTAATTTGTATTGTTTAATTTGGCCCAGAATGATTAATTAATTTGTATTTTTTTCTTCTAATTCTTTTAAGGGAATTCCATCGCTATCTTATGTTACTTATAAAATGATTATTTTTCTGCGTCTTTCTTTTTTTTATTGGTTGGAATAGACTAAATTCTTTTTCGCGATTAAATAACATATAAAAACAAAACCGGAACCTATTATCTCATGTTAAAAACAAAAAAATAAACAATTAAATTTGTTTTATATTTTTTGTTTTTATTCGTACGTTAATCGCGTGGAAAAATATTTATTATTCAATTAATAAAAAGAAAAAGATGAAGAAAAATCTTTTTATCGATAAAATAGAAAGATGTTACAATCTCTTTAGGTTTACACAATTTTATAATATAAATTTAAGAAACAAAGTTATAATTTGTGTTACTCTGTTGATTTACTGTTTAAACATTCAATATTTACTCATTAAATGCATATAGATTTCGTATGGAAAACTTGGCACATAATCCCAATAGGCAAAATAATAGTGTAGATAATATATACAAACAAAAAATAGCATCATCCGTTCGTTTACACTTACGAACTTTAGAGTAAGTATGTAATAATTTATTTCCAAATGCGTGTCCGAATAAATCAATAAATGTTATTTGAATATAATTATCACAATATACGTCATTATTATAACATTTATTTGCCAAACAGATTCGCGAAGTTTCTTGAAAGTACTTTCTCTGTAGCTTTAGTTGTACAAATGTTCATAATTATGGTCGCAATGAGCATTACCTTGCTGCAAGTACGTCCATTAATTATTAAACGTAACACGACATTGCAACTTTCATTATTTGCAACAATTTAGAGAATCAAATTATTATTTACGTTCATTACAAATTATTACTTAATTACCTGATGAATAAAATATTAAAATAGATTTATTTCACTCCAGCTTGCAGTGCAAGTTGAACAACTTATTGAAATAATGAGGAATCTAGTACTTGTTGTTGCTCAATTGATTCACTTATTCTGCTTCAGTATGCAAGGACAAAAATTGATAGACCATAGTCTAGAAATACAGGATAAGATGTGAGATGATATTTTGAATCGCAAAATATGTTAATCTGCGACAAGTTAAATTGAAAAAGAGTGATTATTAAAATGTAAATGTTTGCAATTGCAGATATAACTGCTTCTGGTATAAAATACCAGTGAAATCGCAAAGACTGCTTATAGATATTATGAGAAGAAGTTTGCAGCCAAGTGTTTTGAGCGCCGGAGGGTTTTATATTTTTTCACTGAAAAGCTATATGACGGTAAAAAAGTTTTCACGAATACTACTATATTATTATTATAACATGTTTTTATAAAATTATATAGAAACATTTTTTTAAGGTTTTACAATCTTCGGTGTCATATTACACTGTACTCTCGTCTTTTCAATAATTCATCGATAAAATCGATAAATTTGGGAAGTACTTCTGCACAAACATAATAATGTAGATAAATGTGGCAATTTATTATCACACTAGATAATATATATATAGATGGATAATAATAAATTTCATTTATACAATTAAATCATCGTGTTTATCACATTTGTTAAACTATTAAATTTTTTATTATTAGATATATCCCGTTTTACAAATAAAACGAAAACAGATATTTGCGTATAGAGCAATAATGGTTCAACAAATAAAAATAAATAATGAGAAAGATATTTTACTTATTATTTTATTTAAGTGTACTAATATATTTATATTTTTACATATCTTGATATCACAAAATCTATAGTTGCATATTTCTAAAAAGTGTTTTTCATCGATATTATCCGGTTTATTACAAGGGTTATATGTCGTTTTTCTTCAATTTTTTCCTCTATTTTTAGATCCCTTTCCTTTAGATTTTTAAATCTCTTTCTTTTTTAGGCATCGCGCCGCTACCAAGTATACCTATATGCTTAATCTTCGATAGATATTGATCTCTATTTTTTTCGTTGCTGAGTTGCTGTTCTTTTTGTGTGTGTGCTCGCCTCGATTGTCTGTCCTCATTGTTTTCGGCAAGACGTGCCCTTACAGGATTGGCTCGATTCGAGGAAGCAAATACAACTAGGCGATATATAAATACATGTGACGAGCGGCACAGGGACACTCTCTCTTAACGTGCCTAAGAATTATAATCTGATTGTGAGAATATAGAACTTTCATCCCCGAAAAATTTGCGAAATTTTTGTACCAATTTCGTGAAAATCTGCCAATAAATGTGTAAATGCGTGGGTGGGTGGAAACTTGAAAAAACCACACAGCAGCCACTCGCGAAAAATTTGCGACATTTTGGTACCAATTTGGTGAAAATCGGTCCATAAATGTAAAAGTAGTTCGCGATCATACAGACAGACAAACAGACGGTACTTACGGTCAATAAATGTATGAGCGCGTGTGTGATGATGTAAAACTTAAAAAAAAAAAAACCACATATTAGCCATCTCTGAAAAATTTTCAAAATTTAGGTTCTATAATAATTTCTAGGGAATCGATCCATTAATGTGAAAGTGCGTGGGTGGCGCGTGAGTGGGTAAGTAAAGGAATAAAAAAAAATCATTAAACTTAAAAAAATCTTTTTTTGCAATATTTTTGAACATTCTAAACACATTGGCGTAGACAATTAAAAAAATATTTTTCGCAAAAACATATATATACCTTTTTCTGAGAAAAAAAATAAAAATTTAAAATTTAAAAGAAACTCCACAGCAGCCACCCCCAAAAAATTTGCAATATTTTGGTAGCAGTTTCACGAAAATTGGTCCACAAATGCGGAAATAGTTCGCGTACATACAGACAGACGGACGGTACTTATATATATAAATGTACTTCTTGTTTTTAAAATTTTTTAAACTAATTATGTCATATGAATATGTGTTGTAAATTTTGCAGTTGAGTGGTTTTGACTCAATTTCTCTGTTAGAAAGAAAAAAAGAACTTGCAATGACTATTAAAAAGAAAAGAAAAAATTGTTTAATATCGCAATGCAATTATTATAAAACAGTTCTCGCATATGCAATGCTCTTTTTAAAGAGTTCTGCAAATGGATATAATTTGAAAAATTTTTGAATTATTTCATCCGAAGAATCACATTTTTGAGTATAAAATTTAATTTCTGGTTGTACTTCGACAATGCTGCTTTTTATTAAATAGTTCTCGTGTAGTGCCGGACATGTATAATGCTTTTTTAAAGATTCCTGATAAAAGAAATGATTAAAAAATTTTGCTTCCTCATAAAAGAAACTTTGCTTTCCTATAAAATTTTTTTTCTGATTTATATACCAATGTGTTCAGAATGTTCTAAAACATCGAAAAATTATATTTTTGAAAACTATCCTTACGTGTATGTGTATGTATATATGTGCCCATCCACTTTTATTTAAATTTAAATATATCAAGAATTATTTGTCTTACAGCGTTCTAATATGGCATACAAGTAAAGTAGTATACAATACTTTTATTAACTGTCATTTTCATACAAATTTATACTGCGTTTTAAATGTTAATGCAATTTTACATGGTTCAGGAAATGGTTGTAATTACTCTAACTTCCATAAATTTTAAGATATTAGGATAAACATTAAAACAAGATGGTTGGAATTTGACAAGTATCGGTGAAAGGATTTTTTAAATAAAATTTTGAATTTTTTGAAAAATGTCTGTGATAGTTCTAATTTTAGTAAATTTTGAAATATCGGGATAAATATATTTACATGAACCAAGCATCGAGAAATATTAGCGCTAATAAATCCAAATAATAAATTTAGCACATTTCACATATGTCAACACGGTATATTGAATTATTACAATTTTCACATATAATAATACACAATTTTATATGTTTGTTAGTCGTGTAAAATTTCAGATTTATATGTACAATCAGTGTTGTGCTTAGATAATTTTAAAATTGCTTAGATAAAGGTGAGATGAAAATATTCATTTTACGTTAGAAGAGAAAGAAATTGCCAATATGAAAAACTTCTCAAGACAGTAGAATATATCTATACCTATGCATCTAAATATTATACATAGAAATTTGCTTTGCTTATTTGCGTGTAACACATTTAGTAATAATTTATAAAGACACCATAGAATTTATATCCCCCTATTCAAATACACTTGTCTATAGGCGAAACTTATTTTCTGAGAGATCGATACATTTCGCACTGCGACAGGTATCTATTAACATACACTTAGATAGAAATACATATATTACAGAGGGATAGGAATACATATTACATGTTTCCGACAACCTGTATTTTTACTTGTATGTTACCTTTTTTTCCGTCATGAGAAGGCATATAGTTATTCATTCTTTGCTACGGAAAAAAAAGATCAAAATTTTAGTCGATCGCATGTAATTAAAGAGAGAAGAATCCTTTGAAAAATTATGGAGTGTGTCTGGGATTATTATTACAGCGTTACTAAGAAAATGTTATTATTGTGTGGCCAGTGGCCTTACCTGAAGAAAAGAAGAAGATTGTTTCAACTGATTTTAAGTACTATGATGCAACTTTCAGTTATAGTTGGACAGGTTGTTGCATCCACTTACGAATGTTCTATCAAAATTTGCAAATATAAATTTAAAAGTACCTATAATCTATTAACAAATATATGCTTCAAGGTAGGAAAAATAATTAAATGTGACAAAAATCTGCAATGTATTCTCGTATGTATACCGGCCTACTTAGTTGGATGTATGTTTACGGTAAAATTATACACGTGTCAACTCAATAACAATAAAGTATGATAAAAAAAATTTACATTATACACGTTATTGAAAAAAAAAAAAAAACAATGTGTTTCTATAATTATTTTTTGCGAATGTATTGTATAATCATTTTCTATAGCGACTATTAAATTATCTAATATTTAATATTTATACTTTAGATTAAACATTTGACCAATCAACTATCTAGCGATTGGAAAGATTTGGAAAGCCCGGAAGAATATGAAATTATGAAAACGTATGCAACAAGAGTGAGAGTGTTTACTTTGATTTATTCGGGTAAGGATAATTCACGTCATTTTAATTTTACATATAACGAATATGATAAACGATTTGTTTTATTTTTTTTTGTTACAGCATATTATCTCATAGGTTGTCCTATGTTTATAATGTGTAGTCTTATACCGAAGGTATTAGATATCGTGTTGCCTCTGAACGAATCTCGACCTATAATCCTGCCTGTGGAAATTCACTTTTTCGTTAGTGACGAAGAATACTTTTATTACATTTTCATTCACAGTCTTATATGTTCACTCTTTGTAATAAATGTGCTCGCGCATGATTGCCTTATTATGACTTGCATTGAGCATATTTGCGGCAATCTCGCTGTGGTTGGGTAAGAATATTATGTAATTTGTATTGTTTAATTTGGTTCAGAATGATTAATTAATTTGTATATATTTCTTCTAATTATTTGAAGGGAATTCTATCGCTATCTTATGTTACTTATAAAATAATTATTTTTTTGCGTCTTTCTTTTTTTTTTTGGTTGGAATAGACTAAATGCTTTTTCGCGATTAAATAACATATAAAAACAAAACCGGAACTTATTATCTCATGTTAAAAACAAAAAAATTAAACAATTAAATTTGTTTTATATTTTTTGTTTTTATTCGTACGTTAATCGTGGAAAAATATTTAGTATTCAATTAATAAAAAGAAAAAGGTAAAGAAAAGTCTTTTTATCAATAAAATAGAAAGATGTTACAATCTCTTTTAGTTTTACACAATTTTATAATATAAATTTAAGACACAAAGTTATAATTTGTGTAACTCTGTTGATTTACTGTTTAAACATTCAATATTTACTCATTAAATGCATATAGATTTCGTATGGAAAACTTGGCACATAATCCCAATAGGCAAAATAATAGTGTAGATAATATATACAAACAAAAAATAGCATCATCCGTTCGTTTACACTTACGAACTTTAGAGTAAGTATGTAATAATTTATTTTTAAATGCGTGTCCGAATAAATCAATAAATGTTATTTGAATAAAATTATCACAATATACGTCATTATTGTAACATTTATTTGCCAAACAGATTCGCGAAGTTTCTTGAAAGCACTTTCTCTGTAGCTTTAGTTTTACAAATGTTCATAATTATGGTCGCAATGAGCATTACCTTGCTGCAAGTACGTCCATTAATTATTAAAAGTAACACGACACTGCAATTTTCATCATTTGCAACAATTTAGAGAATCAAATTATTATTTACGTTCATTACAAATTATTACTTAATTACCTGATGAATGAAATATTAAAATAGATTTATTTCACTCCAGCTCGCAGTGCAAGTTGAACAACTTATTGAAATAATGAGGAACCTAGTACTTGTTGTTGCTCAATTGATTCACTTATTCTGCTTTAGTATACAAGGACAAAAATTGATAGACCATAGTCTAGAAATACAGGATAAGATGTGAGATGATGTTTCGAATTGCAAAATATGTTAATCTGCGACAAGTTAAATTGAAAAAGAGTGATTATTGAAATATAAATGTTTGCAATTGCAGATATAACTGCTTCTGGTATAAAATACCAGTGAAATCGCAAAGATTGCTTATAGATATTATGAGAAGAAGTTTGCAGCCAAGCGTTTTGAGCGCCGGAGGGTTTTATATTTTTTCACTGAAAAGCTATATGACGGTAAAAAAAGTTTTCACGAATACTACTATATTATTATTATAACATGTTTTTATAAAATTATATAGAAACATTTTTTTAAGGTTTTACAATCTTCGGTGTCATATTTCACTGTACTCTCGTCTTTTCAATAATTCATCGATAAAATCGATAAATTTGGGGAGTACTTCTGCACAAACATAATAATGTAGATAAATGTGACAATTTATTATCACACTAGATAATATATATAGATGGATAATAATAAATTTCATTTATACAATTAAATCATCGTGTTTATCACATTTGTTAAACTATTAAATTTTTTATTATTAGATATATCCCGTTTTATAAATAAAGCCAAAACATATATTTGCGTATAAAATAAGCAATAATAGTAGAACGAATAAAAATAAATTGTTGTTACGAGGGTTACAGAAAAAGCGACTAATAAACACAATGTGAGTTAGTACGACACATAAGATATATCCCTTTCCAAAAAGTGCATGTTATGTATTCTCGCAATATCTCGAATGTATTGTTGCCTTTTTATCGTGATGCCGATTGGTTGTTGGTTGTCGAGCATTTCGTGCGCTATGACTTGATTCACTCGTATCCTCGTATGTTGGTTATACGATATGACTGTCAAACTGTCATACTGATAAACTGTTATACTGATAATTAATATGAAAGAAATTAAATAACACAAGCGCGCGCTGAACAATTCTATTACAATTTCCTGTTGTAACAAAGGTAAGGTAATTGTAGCAATGCAAGTATAATTAAATATAATATAATATAATATAAATATAATATAGTAACCTATTTATAATATAGTAACCTATTTAAATTATAATAATTTTTAAATTAATATTCATATAAAAATATATATTATATATATATATATATATATATATATATATAAATATATAATATTAATTTAATTTCTTACCATTGTAACGATCATGTGTTATAAATTATATTGTATATAATAGAAAGAAAGAAAGTGACGGAGATTAATCGAGAGAAATAGAGAAAGGAAAAAGGACCATAGAAAAGAAAAAGAAAGAGAAAGAAGAGAAAAGAGGATTCGTAAAAAATAAAGAAAGATAAAAACAGAAGGAAGGAAGAAGGAAATATACAATATTAGGTAAATAAATTTATTTTTTATAAATTTAATAAGTGTATATATATATAAATATAAATATATACATATATATATATATATATATATATATATACATATATTTATATAGGGCATATCACACATAAATCAATCACTTTTTTATTTGCTTTATTTTTTTTATGTTTTTGCATTTATTGAAAGTTGTTTTCATGATTTGAAAATATTTAGACATTCTTGAATAGTAGTATTTTGCAATTTCATACCACCGTAACGATCATATCAATTTTAATCTAATTTATTTTTTTCCCTCAATGAGACCCTTCGATTATTTTCTAAAAAATTGATAACATTTGCGACTTAAATACAAAATTTTTGAGCCATAAACAAAGAGGGGATTCAAATAATTTCAACTTTTTAACACCATTTTTTGAAATTTTTTTTTTCGACAATTACATTCCTTAATTTTTTATATTACTCCAATAAAACAGAAAAAGTTTACAAAGATAATAATTATATAGTTTAAAATGTTAGTAGTCGAAAAATAATTTTAATATTATTTATAACTATTTTTTTGCTATTTTGCTCGAAATAATGTTTGTTAATTTATTAGACGACTCGTATCGAAAGAAAAACTTTGCAAATAAAAGACTTTAATTAAATATAATACATTTTATTAAAAATTATAACAAAGAAAAAGAAAATAATTAAAAAATAAATTATTTTAATAAATTATTTAAATTATTAAAAAATAAATGTTATGTTATAATTTTTAATAAAATAAGAGCCAAATCGCGGATGATAGTGCATTTATTTCCTTAGGGGGAACAGAGGATGTATTGAATTAAATCTCTTGTAGAGATTATTCCAATTTTAAATCTTGGCCGTGACCAAGTAAAATTTGGTGCTTTGTGCACAAGTATTTAATTCTAACGAAAAAATTTAGTTTCGTTGGGATAACGTACTGTCATCCGCGATTTGACTCTTATTGCCTGTCTTACACTTTAAATTTATGTTTTATTTAATTAATGTCTTTTATTTGCAAAGTTTTTTTTCGATACCAGTCGTTTAAGAAATTAATAAACATTATTTTTTAGCAAAATAGCAAAAAAATAGTTTTAAATAATATTAGAATTTTTTCTCGATTATTAATACTTTAAAATAAGTAATTATTATCTTTGTAAACTCTTTCTTTTTTATTTTAGTAATGTAAAAAATTAAAGAATGTGATTTTAGGAAAAAAATTGCAAAAAATGGTGTTAAAAAATCAAAGTTATTTAAATCCCCTTTTTACTTATGACTTAAAAATTTTGTATTTAAGTCTTAAATGTTATCAATTTAAAAAAAAAATCGAAAGGATCTCATTAAGGGAAAAAAAATAATAAAATTGTTTTGAAATACATAATTCAAGTATGAATAGAAAAAAAAATCTAAAAAAAAATCATGGAAATTAATTTTGGAAACTACTTTTAATAAGTGCAAAAATATTTAAAAAATGAAGCAAATAAAAAATGTTTATGGAAAAAAGTGGTCTATTTGTGTGGTATGGAATGCCCCATATACATATATATACATATATATACATATATATACATATATATATATGTATATATGTTAATTTATAGTTTATAAATTATATATATAACAGAGAAAGAAAAAAAGTGACGGAGAATAATTAAAAGAAAGAGAGAAAGGAAAAAAAGATTAGTGTATATGAAAACTTTCTAGGTAAACTATAATTTAATGAAAAATAATGTTTCATTTAAAAAATTGAAAGTAATTTTTATATAATCTTTAAATGAATTAATCACATTGTCTTACGTCCCCCTCAAAGATAAAACTTATACAAAATATTTTTTCTTAAAATGTTTTATTTTTAAGATAAGCAATTGCATTTTTAAAAATAATAGATCTAAAATAATAACCTGTATATATAAAATTAATATGTATAATATGTAAACGTTTTTATTTACAGTTAAAACGAACGAAATATAAGAAAAATATAAGAAAGAGAAGGAAAGAAAAATAGAGAAGAAGAAAGAAAACAAAGAATATATAAATAAAAAGGAACTAAAAGAAAAATAAAAAAATATTATAATTATAATTAATAAATATTATTAATAATATTATACCTATATATATATTTTAGTATAAATTATTTCATGATTTACTGTTATTTAATAGTTACTTAATAGTTTAATATATGTTATTTAATTAATTATTTAACATGTTATTTAATATTATTTAACTTAACTTAATTTAATTTAATTTATTTATTAATAATTTAATTTAATTTAATTTATTTATTAATTAATTTAATTTAATTTAATTTAATTTGATTAATTAATTTTAATTTAATTTAATTTAATTTGATTAATTTATTTTATTTAATTTAACTTAAAACATATAAACTAATTAATATTTATTAATTAATATCGCCTATTAATATATAATTATATTATAATATAATATATTTATACTGTACATTAATATAAATTTGTATTTATAATTATTTATAAATAAATAATGATGACAATGATGACAATGATGATAATGATGATGATGATGATAACAATGATGACAATGATAATAATGATTATAATGATAATGATGATGATGATTATGATTATGATGATAATAATGATGACAATAATGATGATAATGATAATCTTGATTATAATATTGATTTTAATTTTTGTATAAAAACTTTAAAGTTCACAAATTAATATTTAATAATTTAAAAGATTGAATTTTAATAGCTTATTCAAATTTTAATAATCAATCTATAATATTATTTTAATATATTTAATATATTTAATAAATTTTTGTTTATTTTTGCATTAAAAATTTCAAAAATTAAACTTTTTTAAATACCTAACTTATAAATTTTATTATTAATTTCTCTTTAATTATTATTAAATATTTAAGTAAATGTATTTTCTTATTTTAATTAGCATATAATATATTAATCTGTGTGTTCGGTATATATATATATTTATATTTTTAAACTTTATAAAATAATTAAATTTTAATAAGTTTACGATCAATTTATAAATTAATAATTTTGTTTAAATTTCAATAATATATATACTTTTCACGGAAAACATACGTGTATATATATATATATATATATATATATATATATATATATTATATATTATTACTTTTATAAAATGCCGAAACGCAAAATACAGCATAGTTTAGAAGAAGAGGAGTTACAACAACGTTCTAAAAAAAAAAGCAGAAAATCAATATCGTCGTAATCAAATTATAAAAGCATTAAATAATGTAACAAAATCAGTTAATCGTAATATTTGTGTTGCTGGTACATCACGTGATAATCATATAATAATAGATTTAGATGAAGAACAAAGTTTTAAAAATCTTAAATCAGTGTGTCAACAATCTTTTGCAGAACGTCAATCTTATTATCGATCACGGCAAAAAAATCAACCTTGTTTAAATAATGATGATATAATATTAATTAATAATATTGTTATATTGGTTCTATGGATGTATCTTGTATTCATTGCAATGCAAAACATTTTGCGTCTGAAAAAATATCTAATAGAGGAAGCTCCTTTCATGACTGTTGTAATCATGGTGCAGTATATTTACAACCATTACCTGAATTTCCACAATTAATTCGTGATTTATTTGATGGGACTCATGTAAAATCTAATGATTTTTTTCAACATATTCGTAGTTATAATAGTTCATTTTCGTTTGCATCATTTAACGCTAATTTAAAGAATTTTCAAAATAGACGACCTGGTCCATATTGTTTCAAGATACAGGGACAGATATATTATCAAGTTAATAAGTTATCAAGTTCTTCTAAAGGTATATTAAGCTTTAGCTTAACTTGAGAAAAATCTATTTCAATTTTGTTCTTATCAGGTAATTCGTAGAATATAAGTTTGGTACGACGATTTAAACTGGTCGCAACATAATGTTTTCCATACGTCGCCGAATGCTCTCCGGATAAAACGATTCTGCCCGGTGCGGAAATTTTAAACTTAATCATCTTTTGTAATCAATAAAAATATCTCTTTTTAATAGACTTCTGTAATGAGTTAAACAGTATTGAGTTGATAATTAACTTTGCGTAGTT